AGAGAGTTTGGCCTTGCCTTAGCTCCCAGACTGCAAACAGCAGCTGGATCTGCAATTGCTCTGCTCCCTCAGGACACTCCTGACCACCTGCCTGTGGACATCGGCTTCAGCTGTATCAGGGTGCCAGCCTGCTCACAATCTCCCCTCCTCTGCCTGCTCCAGCTCCACAGCTATGTAAGCCACTTCTGCATAAAACATCCACACGTGCATACGTGTACACATGCACACAACCCTCAGGCTGCTCCTGTGTCTCTGACACAGGATCCTCTACACACATCCTCATCTGCTCCCAGGTCCAACTTTCATAAGACCCACTTCTACCCGTGGGAGATAAAACAAACTCCATCAGTACTCCCAGAAAAGTTCAAATAATGGCAGAATGGTTTTCTTTTTCTTTTGTTTCCACTACCTTGAAGCAGCACGTACATCTGCTGCTTCAGGGGACAGTCCAGTGTAACCACTATCCTTCCCTGTACTGTAACCAGGGACTCATGCTAGGCCTCGGTGACTCGCATCAGCGTGTCACCCGACCATGTTTGTACTGGACTTCACCTGCCCAGTCAAACGTCAACAGATCTTCTAGATTCTCTCAGCTTGGGAGATTTTTCTAAGACCAGCACCAGTCTCCTAAGAAATCCCATTTCCTCTCTAGTCATAGATTAATTCATTTTTTCCTATTAGTTCTTGTTTATCAGTTCACCAAATTCTTCTCTATCCTGAATATTAAGTAAAAACCACTGTATTCTGCATGTCCTTTCATACCACAATTCCACTATTAGGACTCTCTCCTGAGGAGACAGGGTTGTATTTAAATCATTAGTTTCAGCACTGATTTTAAAAAATTTAAAACAATAAATACATTTAACAAATATATCCATAAAATCTGATGCTTTTTGATACCAAAAAATAATATAACAGCAAATTCAATGGAATAAAAAGAATGTACAATATACTGTTAATAAAGCAAGTTATAATAGTTCATATTCAGAAAATATAATTATGTTTTTGTAACTCAATAAATTAGCATAGATCCATAGAAAAAGAACCTGAAGGATAAAAGCTAGTGTGAGTGTTTTTGAGTGGCTGGACTGTAGGTGATTTTTCACTTTCTTCTTTCTCCTGATAAGTACTTCTAAGTTTATTGTAGTGGACACATACTGCTAGTATGATAAGCAAAGCCCCAACACACTCTGCAGTGGTAATTTAATAACCTGCGGCCTTAAATCGGAATTCTTCACTAGCTTTAAAGCTCCAGACACGGACTTTGAGGAGGATAGCTATAAAACCCTTGAACCCACATGCAAGGCGCTGTTCGTATGCATGAGTGTGTGTGTGCGTGCACGTCTGGGGAGAGGAGGGAACAAGTTCCATAGTTTTCATCTATTCCTAAAGAGATCCATGGTCCCAAAAAGGTTAAAGCCACCATGTCCAGAATCTTGCTGACCTTATCTCAATCTCTCTTATTAGGGGTGATGTGCATGGGTGTGTGTGTGGGGGGTGTCATTATCTAAAGAGTTGAGGGACAGACAATTTGCAATAGGAATTCCCAATTCCAAGTCAGGTATTTTGTATACCTGATCCTTCTTTATCTCAAGGGATGCATGAAATTTGCAAAACTCCCTCAAAATACAAATAACGAACTTAACAACAGTAGGCCGTAACTTTTGAAACAATTTCTCTAGAATGGTTACTTCTAAGCTTTTCAAAGTAAAAATACTCTTTTTGACTAAAAATTTTGGTACTAAATACCGAGCTCTTTGGTCCCCACCCTCATACACACTCATGTACCCTCATATCGTTCATGCCACAGTCTTAGAATAGAATTCATCAACTTTTATTCTGAGCCACTCTAGAATGAGAGAAGAGACTCAAAGAGAATTTTACTGGAGAGAGAAGTCATTGTTATTTTTAAAATAATGAACGCTCTTGCTGAGATCCAAATACATGCCACGTTTCATTAAATATCCTTCATTTGATAGGAGGAGATGATGTATGACATGTTATTGTGTGACTGGATAAGAACGCTATGTTCCTGCAGTCTCAACACTAAACTGTTTTCACAGGATATATTTCCCACCTGAACATCATGGTCTTTAAATAAACCTCATGCCCGCATGTCGATTTTACTTACATAACGACTATTCCCCAATCCCAACTCCATTGAGAAGTGCAAAAAGCACATGCAAACTTCTTTCCACATTCCCCGTCTGAAAATCCACCTCTGTGAGAAAACAACCTCCTGAAGAGATAGGACTGCTATCAGATATCTCTTATGTCTAACGCTAGCTACTCCACCATGATTTTGTACAAGTATGATGGATGTATGTGATTATTCTGGGTTTGAGATTATAAACAGTTTAAGTTAATGTGTTTACTATAGTAAAAAATGTGACAAACAACCTTGACGACATTAAAGAAAATGACAGTTTTCATCTATTGAATCAGAGTAGATCTACATACAGCTTTGGCCTCCTGCCACCACTACCCTTTCGAATTCTTTTCTCCATGAACTTACCAGAGGGGCTCTAGTAGGAATATCATTTAAGATACGATACCTCTTCACCTGCCTGCTGGATTGGGTTGGAACAAAACATGGGTGAAGACCTGTTCTCCCCACAGTGTAACTGTGATGCGCAAGCCCGAGACCCAGAGGTAGGAGGTGAGCCTCAAGGGTGGTTTGGGGAAGCAAGGCTGTAGCTGAACCATGTCTTTCTGTAGGAGCTGCTTTTGTCTGCCCTTCTGAGTTGGTGATACTATTAATTTTATGTGTGTGTGTGTGTGTGTGTGTGTGTGTGTGTGTACTTTAAAAGCATATGCATCAAGTAAATAATATATCCTCTATATCCACGAGGAAAAATATAGATAATAAAAGTGGAAATGAAGTGCTAATCAGAAAAGGTAACTTATAAATTTTATGCTGCCTCTGAAGATAAGAGGCTCTGAACCAGAGACACTAATATGCGGGTAGTTTCCAAACTTCAAAAGTTAATATTATATGTTAAATTCATAATACCACTTCCCATTTGCAAAGTGCATTCAACACCACTGTGTCCCTGATGACTTCAACACTAACTTTCTCACACAAGTAACACAGGCAAAAGGCAAGACAAATGCATGAGTAAAACACACACAACAGGCCAACAGGAAAGGCTGGTGTGAACGTTGTAGACTTACTGCTCGTGGAAGTCCAGCATTGGTGGCTCGAACCGTATGGGCCTGCAGTGGCCGCGGTACCGGGACACACTGCAAGTGAGAAGAAAGCAGTGTAAAGGGCAAGTTTTCAAAATATTTTCCCAAACCAAAGCCAGACACCTAAATGTTGTCATGAGAAAGTATCTCTATGAAAAGTGAAGTCTAATTCTCTATTCAGTGTGTGCATTACTCTTTTTTATTAGAGAAAATCAATTAATGTTGTGGTTTTTTTAAAATGCAAAGAAGAAACAGGAATATTTTTCTGTTTCTGTTACACACACACAAAAAAAAACAGAAAATGCTCAGATAGACTGAATGTTGAAATTTATTTTGGTTGATATAGTTGATAACGATATACCTTAATATGCTCACATGAATTTTGTGATACAGGTACAATGAACAATAACTAGTTAATATACAACTACACATACTTGGAAGATAATATACATAGAGAAAAACCATGATTACATTGTAACTGGAGTGGTAAAGGAACTAATCAAAAATGAACTCAGGGACAGAAATTTCCAAGAATCAAAATACCTTTGTAATGTGAGAGCCTAGAACACATTGATCTACAACAATCTTGGCCTACATATTTGAGGTTCATTTCTCACTGTCCCATTTGTATCAGAACTTCCCACTAAGACAGTCTGGGACAGCAAACCTCAACATCACCACGACCTGATGGTGGTGCAAAGTACGACTGACCGGGGCCCCGGGTGGAAGGGGAACCAGCACACCTACAGTCATCTGTTTACATAAGTTCAGCCAGCCACTGAAGTTTCTAAATGGTCGATGTTTATCTTTCTGTTACATTTTAAGAAATGCTCTAAGAACAAAACTCACTTTGTGAGATGGCTATTTCCATCACTGCCACCATTCACAAGAACACAAGCTTCAAATGATACAGTCATTTTATTCAGGAAACAGAGGGCATGCATTAGAAACAGACAAAAGTGTTCAGGAAGTTTAACGTTAACTCACTTCTACAGAGATTAAATAGTCTGAGTCAGGAAATAACTGAGCTAAGAGTCATAAAATCCAAAGGTGTTTTAGCCCTACCAATTAAGACTAGTTCTCCGTGCTGCCCGCCACATACAGGGAGCAAAAGATGACAGACACACAAGAAGGAAGACACCAAACATAAGATTCTGCTTTACTAAGACACAAAACTAAAGACACTGGGACAAAAAAGGCATAAGTCCTCACAAGACAGTTGCCACATGAAACCAAGAGGTACAAAATCCACCCCGATTTCTGCCCTTAGACATGTCATAACAGGACTCTGGCTCCTTTAAAACAAGAGATATTGATCAGCTCATCAGTTTTCACGGTGTGAAACTCAAACCTCTAGGAAATCTTAATCCAATCAGGGTGAAAAAAGTATAATGCATAAAGTAAATGTGTGTCAAATTCATACATAAACACTGGTTGTTAGAAGCTGCAAAGGAGGTTAAGATAGTTTTTTCTTACAGAACTGAGCATCTACTCCTCAAGGTGCAAATGAAAATGTCTCAAGTGGCCATACAAGGTAGAAAAAGTGCACCCTGTTCATTCAACACAAATATACTGAATGCCAGGGGCTGTCTAGTGATGGGGCCACAGGACAAGGACAAAGCCAAGAGTCTGCTCTCATGGCACTAACATCCCAGTGGGGGAGACAAAAATGGAACATAGCAGGTGACCATGTGTGACATATAAAGACAAACCACACACAGCAGGAACAAAGAAGGCCTCTCTGAGGAGGAACACTGGAGCTGACCTAATGGTGGAGATCTGGGGAGAGGAAGTGGGGTGACTTGGAATGTTGAGGACAGGAGGTTACGTGGCCTGAGTGCGGGAAGGGAAGTAGGTAGGGGCTGAGAGCAGAGAGGTGCGAAGGCCAGGTCTGGATTTTATTCCAAGCATGACAAAAAGCTTCTACAGTGTTTTGAACAAGGAAGTAACATGATCTGACACATAAAAAGGTTATTCTGGCTGCTGTGTGAAGAACAGACTAAAGGAGCCCTACAGTGGAAGCAGGGAAGTCACCCAGACAAGAGGGCGTGGTAGCTGTGGTCTAGGGTGACTGCAAAGGCAGAAAGGTGACAAGTCACTCTTCTATGAATATATTTGGAAGCTAGAGATGACAGGTTGTGTGGACATGTTGACCGGAGTGTGAGAGAAAGAAGAGAGGAAGCAAGGATGACTCGATTCTAAGACTTTGGCCTGAGAAGCTGGATGCAAGGTCATCACATGGGAAGAGGGGTTGGAAGTGGGGGAGGGAAGGTGGATAGATGTTCAAGAGTATTGTTTCTGACATTTAAATTTGAGATGTCTTAAGTAGATGGAGATGTTGAGCAGGCAGCTGGTTATACATGGTTATTGCTTTATATGAAAAAGTTATTGACTTTATGCACTGATTTTATACTCAGTCACTTTGGTGAGTTAATTGTAATAGTTTACATACAGATTCTCTTAGATTTCCCGTCGCTATATGTGCTGCCAAAATTATTGCTATCTTGAATGATCTCTGCAGACAAATCATCTGCAAGTAACAATTCTATTTCTTCCTTTCAAATCCTGAGACCTTATTCTCTTTTTTTTATGCATTGTGTGGGCTCTGATAGCCCATTAAATGCTCCACAGAAATGGTGTCCAGCAATTACCATTGTGATATTTACATGATGCTCACAGAATGAGATAGAGGAAAACACATATAGAAAAAGTTCCCTCAAAAATAAATGCATGTTTTCAAAGCAATGGCAGATCTACACCTAAGGAACATCTTCATATCTGAGTGGGTACAACACAAGTTGGCATAGATATAATTTATATTAATAAAATCGAAAATTCAATAATGTAACTGTCATGTATCCACAACTGTTTATTTAGAAAAGGCATGACATTGTTTAGTGCTTTATTAACAGAAAGCAAATGTCTGCAAACCCATAATATTGAAAAATAAACTGGAGAAGCAATGTGAAAACTGGTATCCTTTGGCAATTTCAAAGAAATAGAATCTGAAACATAATAATAATAAATTGCATGATTTTACAATTTTACACTTTCTGCAGCGATGGTATTTGTTTCGAAAGTCTCGATACAATGTTTCCATTTGCACTAAAAAAATGAATATTTATTGGGAGATAAGGAAATGAATAAAGACTACTTTCTGACCAGAAGCGGAGCTGTAGGAAGCCTTGCAGGACGAGGTCTAGTCCCCTGGGAGAACCACCAGGTCAAAGTCAGGCCACCAGCTCCCCCCGTGAAGCACACAGGCCTTCTTGGGCTTTGGGAGTTTGTTTAAACTAGGAAATTTAAGATGTTTTCCTCAGCGTAGTTACTACCTGAATAAAAGGTACTCTATGGCCCAATATTTCTTAAAGAATAGTTTGTGGTCTACCTATACCTTCGTCATCTAAAATGCTTGTACAAGTGCAGTTTCCCGGGCCCCACTTCCAGAATCTGGTTCCTTACACACACTGCAGAACCCAGACACCTGTGTTTTCACGTGTGCTCTCATGTTTGGGAACTACTCTTTTGCATCCTGATCCACAATAAGCATGGCAAGCAAAATTAAGAGGGGGGAAAAATACCTTAACAAGTAAAATTTTCAAACTCACCAACAATTTAAAATAGTTCCAAATATGATTTTTATTAGAGAAAGCTAAAAAAAGTGACAAGAGAAATGATATAGATTACTCTTACATAATATATTCTGCTGTAAATACATTTTAGCTTAAATTTGCATTTCCCTAAGGACTAAAGATGTTGAACATCTTTTCATTTATTGTCCAATTAAATGTCTTCTTTTGTAAAGCATCTGTTCAGTTTTTTTTTAACTGGGATGTTTGTCTTATGATTGAATTGTAGATGCAAGATTTCTTTATGTATTCTAGATACACGTCCTTTGTCAAAGAGACCTACTGTGAATATTTTCTCCCTGTCCTTCCTTCTCCTATTAATGGTGTCTTTTAGGGAGGGGCACAATCAAGATGACAACATATGCCATTTCACCTTCAGTCCCTCTCATGAGACCAACTAGCAATGATCCACAAAAACACAGGAGTGAGGCTGAAGACCCTACCCCCACCCTGGGTCGCAGAGACAGAAAAGGACAACATTAGAAAGAGAAGAGGAAGGGCTACACTCTGACCATACTGCCCCTCCACAGGGCCAGCACAGCATGCATTGAGAGGGCCCCCAGAGGCCTGCAGTTTCTCTGGTGGGAAAGAGAGCCTAAGGTACACATCCAGCCTCCCCACTGTTGTGGGTCACTTTCTGGAAGGCCCACTTTGGGACTTCGGGAGAGTATGTAGGGGCAAATCTGCAGGGGAATCTGTGGGGCTTGACTCCTGGAGATAAGATTGGGATGGAGAAGAGGGTGGGGCTCATAGCAACCAGTGCTGGGTTCCTGGCAGACTGCATTGCTCCTTACAACGATCCCAAGTAGGGATCCTAGCCAGTGGCTCTGCTGATCTGCAGAACCAAGCCAGTGGCCCTGTCTGGCCAGGGAACTCAGTGGGCAGATCTACGTGACTCGGGTCCCCAACCGACAAGCCATACCAGCCAGACTCTGTTCTATGGTCCCATCTGGACTGGGAAGCAATTCTAAGGCCCACATAGGGTTGAATATAGTCTCTGACCCTGCCCGACCAGGAGACTAATGCAAAGGACTTGGGAAACTGTGCAGCCCATTCTATAGCTCTGCTTACAATGGCACCTGAACAGAGAGCCCAGACAGTGGCTTAGTCCACCTGCAGAGCTGAGGTGGTTGCCCCATCTGGCCATGGAGCTTGATGAGCAGCTCTGCTGGATTTGGGTCCCCAACAATCAGGCTGTAAGGGCTGTGAAGCCTGTTCTATGGTCCCACGTAGGCAAGAAGCCTAATACAGCCCCACCCAACTGCTAAGAATTGTACCCAGTCCTGTCCAACAAGGAAGACTGACCAGAGAGTCTGGGCACTGATGATCCTGAGCCGGTTCCATCACTCGGGAGATGGAGTACGGGCAGAATGGGGGTGGATGATGAGAAAGGATGTGGCTCAATCTCTTGACTCACTAGAAAAGCCGGAGGGCAGCATGAAGACTGCACCCCCGGAGGCTGTGAGAAGTGAGGAAGTGATGCAGAAAGACCATAGAAGGTCAAAAGACAGAAAGGGTCCATGTCAGCAATCTAATGCTCAGTGACACTGGGGCGCCTAAGAACAAGGTCCAGAGGTGCAGACCAGACTCTGCATTCAGAAGCCAACCTTCACCTCGGCCATGAATTGGGCTTTACGGACTGTTTTGATGATGAGCTTGAGACATCACGTGAAGCACATATGTGTCTTAGGCACCTTGACCCTGACAACTAAAACCTGAGGTTTTCATGAACTAACATCCTCTCCAAACAAGCTGCTTTCTTTCACAAAGTGGCTAGCATCCTGTCACTTCATCAACACATATTCTTTATGACATCACCAGTAGTCGTCTCCACTATCCTTCAAGACCCCTGAAGGTGGGGAGTGTGTCTAGAACCGCAGCATAGGGCAGATACCACAGGAAACTGAGAGCCAAGACACATCTTCCACATTCTCCCCTGCCATGTCTTCTCAGTAATGACAGTCCCTCCTCCCACACCCCACTGGCATCTCTACCCCTCCCACACAGCCTTCCTCTTCTAATTCCCACTAAGTCCCCATAGTCTTCTTCCAGGAATACTGGCTAAGTAAGAGTGAACACACAGTGGAGACCGAAGGATTCGTATCTGATGTGAGAAGAGTCCAAGAGAATGCAACCCTGGGTGGGCGGTCAGAAGACAATGAACTTGAGCTGCAATGCGGCCCCTCTAACTTGGGCACATCCTCGGTTATGAGTCTTAGCTTCCTACATGTCAAACAAAGGGGCTCAACAAGGCAATGAATCGGGGTCTCAGGTTTAGAATCATCTCTGATTAAATGGTAACTTTTGTCTTACTGAAATTTTCGAACCAAACCCAAACCCTGACACTTTTATAGAACGATGTATTTGAACTAAAACAAAAACAAGATTACAATTTCTGTTGTTATACAATTGCACGTTTTATATTTTCATTTCACATTTTATTTCACATAAACATTTTCATTGAAGTTATGCATGTTTAAACAAGAGCTCTGGCACTGTTTAACTCGACAGTGCAGCACTGAGCCACATAGGAAAAGAACTGGCTAAATTCTTACAGTTCTGATCATCACATGCTAGGTACATACAGAGACTATATTTACTCCATGTCACATGTTTTAAATAGATGACTTATTAAAGGTAATTCATAAATACAGTTCTTCGGTTTTTTAGTTAGTTGATATGAGGCTAAAATCTAAATTTCAACTTGTTTGTTATGAACTGAATTATATCCTCCCCAAATTCATGTGAAGCCCTAACCCCCAGTGTGATCGCATTTGGGGGTGGGGTCTTGGGGAGGTGATGAGGGTTAGATGAGGTCATGAGGGTGAGGCCCCTGTGATGGAATTAGTGCCCTTAAAAGAAGAGACACTAGAAAGCTTGCTTCCTCTCTCCCTTGCCATGTGTGGACATATGGAAGATGGCAGCCCTCTGCAAGCCAAGAAAAGAGCTCCCACTGGGAACCAAATCTGCTGGTACCTTGACTCTGGACTCCTCAGACTCCAAAACTGAGAAACAGCATTTGCTGTTCAGCCACCCAGTGTGTGTTGAATTTTGTTACAGCAGCTGGCTCTAAAACACATTTAGTGCCTGATCCAGTTCCATACCCATAGGGTGCTGCATACCAATACGAACTTAATATTTATCCAATTCATGGTCTTGGTCAGAAAAAAATAGTGAACTGTGATTATTTTAAATTGTATCTGCAAATCCTCCGATATCCCTGCAGTCAATAAAGTGGGGGCCACTTCCCCATGCCCCCAATGCCTTGAATCCATGTCAACGTAAGTGATTGGCTAACCAAGAGTAAATGACAGGAGTCACACTCCAGGACTTCAGAGGGTAGGTCATAAAAAGTTATCCGGCTTTCACTGGCTTTCTCTGGGGTGCTCGCTCTTGGAATCCAGCCATCACACTGTGAGGAAGCCCAAACAAACCTCTGTGAAATGACAGCACCGAGGGCCCATGTGTAGGCATTCTAGGTAACAGCCCAGCTGAGGTCCTGGGCAACAAGTAAACATCAACATGTGAGTGCTCGTGCCTCCAGCTCCCAGCCATCGAGTCATTCCCAGCTCTGAAGTCTCCCCAGCTGAGGCCCCGACCAATGGGGAGCAGAGGAACCTGTGCTGTGCTCCACCTAACTCCCTACCCGCAGAGTCTGACAGCACAGGAAGATGACACCTTTATGCCACTAAGCTCAGGGGTACTTTGTCAGACAGATCCAAGAAACAGGTAGGTGGAATGCGAGATCAGAGTATCGTGCTTTATAATCCGCACAGAAAGTCTGTGCCTTCCTGTTGGCAGTGGCCATGTCCTTGGGCAGAGCACGTCCCAATAGGCACATAATACTGGGGAGAAGGACAGAGCAATGAGGAAGCAGGGCCATATAACTGGATATAAAAGAGCAAAAAGTGACTACTGAAAGAGTTTCATTATATTTGTGAAGTTTTAGCTGTCCTATTCTTCATCTGAATATTTGCTACTTTTGTCTCAAAAAAAAATTCTCTGTCGATGCGGCCTGAATTTCACTAATCTGAGGACACTCCCAGATGGAGGATGGGCTTTAGCATTGAGGACCTGGAACTTACAGAGAGCTGTCCTCTCCTTCAGACACCAGCTGCGGGCCCTCACTGGACACAAAGGGAAATTGGGTAGGATCATTCTTTATGGTGTCTCCATAACAGATATGAGAAGCTACCAGAAGACCAAAGAATCTGGAGATGGGCAGGCACCTTCAAGTTCCCATGCATGCAGATGTTCTCATAATACCTGAAGGTAAAGCAACACCCCAATCACAGAGAATCTGTGTTTAAAGGGATCTTTTAGTCCCAAGACTGGGTTTTACTGCTCTCAGATCCTCCTCCAGGGGCCTGAAGGCAGATAGACCCTGGTGACACAGAAGGCAGAAATGGGTAGTCCATAAAAGGCAGAGAAGCCACAAGAGACACTAGGGAATTATGCAGATGACTTACTGACCAAGGCGGGGCTTTCAGCCGAGCAAGAGCCCCTGGGATGTGACAGGGCCAAATGCCACACAACACATTGCATGCAGATTCAAATTTCAACCTGGTTTCCCTTTCCCTCTTCACCAAAAAAGTACAGAGAAAGAGAAGGGGCACATTGCAGGAATCCCCCAGAAAGAACTGCAAGTATGTTAATATCTTACTAAATCTACAGAATTTTACATTATATATATAAATTTTAAATTATA